TGCGCCGTGGACGAGACGGAGGAGGTGGTGGACGGCGGCAAGAAGGACGCGATCGACGACCTGAAGGAAGGGGAGCTGGAGGCCTTCGTCAGCTCCCTGGGGCTCGGCAAGTATGCGAAGAGCTGCCTGGTGGTGGAGGGCGAGGGGGACGGCGGCGAGGAGGAAGAGAAGCCCTCAAAGAAAAAGAGAAGCAAGAGAGAAGCAAGCCCTCCTGTGGTGGAAGGGAAAAAAGAGAAAAAAGTAAAGGAAAAGGCCAGCAGCGTGAAAGGCAGCAAGAAGAAGCAAGCTGAGGGTGACCAGGAGCGGCACCTTCCAGCAAAGAAAGATAAGCTGGGGGAAGATTTTGAATTTCATGCTAGGCAGGTGATCCTAATCAAACCAGGGGGCAAATGGTATGATCTGGAATACACCAACGAGTTCTCTGCAGAGCCACAAAATCAGATGCTTCTGTCCAAGTATAAGGACTTGGCCCAAAAGCTGTACCAGCATGAGACAGACCTGTATAAGAACAAGACAGATTATCAGAAGGGGGCCTCTTCAGCATGGATGAAAACTGTTGTGTCATCGGGTACCTTGGCTGACAGAATGGCAGCGATGACCCTTCTCATTCAGGACAGTGCTGTCCACAGCGTCCACTTTGTTGAGAACTTGGTAAACCTCATCAAGAAAAAGGGCAGCAGGCATCAGAGCCTCATGGCTTTGGATACTTTCAAGGAGCTTCTCATTTCAGATCTCTTGCCAGACAATAGAAAGTTATGGTCTTTCTCACAGAGGCCATTTGACAACATAGAGAAGATGTCAAGTGGCAATAGGGACTCGAGAGACAGGCGGTTGATACTGTGGTACTTCGAGCATCAGCTGAAACTGCAGGTGGCAGAGTTTGTCCAAGCCTTAGAAACACTGAGTCATGATTCCCTGACAGCAGCGAAATCCCGAGCTCTGGCAGTTGTCCATGAGCTTCTCTGCAACAAGCCTGAGCAGGAGAAAGTTCTGCTTGTTCAGCTGGTAAATAAACTGGGAGACCCTCAGAATAAGATTGCCACCAAAGCCTCCTATCTTTTAGAAACCTTACTACACAAGCATCCAAATATGAAGGGAGTAGTGTGCAGTGAGGTGGAGAGGCTTTTGTACCGGTCAAACATCAATGTGAAAACTCAGTATTATGCTATTTGCTTTCTAAATCAGATCGTCCTCAGTCATGAAGAAAGTGCATTGGCTAGCAAGCTGATAACTTTGTACTTCTGCTTTTTTCGGAACTGCATCAAGAAAAAAGACGTTGAGTCCAAAATGCTCAGTGCTCTTCTTTGCGGGGTGAACAGAGCTTACCCTTATGCCGAGACTGGTGATGAGAAAGTGAAAGAACAAATGGACACGTTGTTTAAAGTTCTGCATCTTGTGAACTTTGGTACCAGTGTTCAGGCCCTGATGTTACTGTTTCAAGTGATGGACTCACAGCAGACTGTATCAGATAGGTACTACGCAGCTCTATACAAGTAAGTGACAGATTTGCATTTTTAAAAACATATTTCATTTTATGAGGTAGTCACCATTAGTTTGAAATTGTAGAAATGCTTATTTTGCTTTTAAGATCTTGTGAGTTTTGTGTTTCTTTGGCTAAAAGTTTCTAATTGTTTTGCATGAGCTAGAAGAACATGCATGTGCTTTCTTTGCCTTAACATGGGAATAAAACAATCAGTACTGCTAAGTTCTGAGAGCACAACCCAAGCATTTCATCCTTTGCACTTTCTGGTGGCATGTTTTAATTCCAGTTTTTATTTTAAACTAATTGATAAGTACTACTTCTGAAATCACCTTTACAGGTACTGTGGCTTAGTCATGTAATAACCTAAAATCTTGTTTCCTTTTTTTCATATAAGATGTGGGGAATATTATATTAACAAATTCATTAGATAGTTTAATTTTTGTAGTTGGAAAGCCTTGTGTTATAAAAGTGTCTCTTTTCTTGCCTCAGATGATTGTTCAGATTCTTTGTAGGATCCTTACAGGTTTGTGTTTAGTTGACCAAAAAGAAAGTTGCAGATTTTTTTTAAAAAGGGAACTCAAGTTCTCCCAGAATGTGCAAAATGATTGAGGGCCTTACAGTGCTTTTTTTTTTACTTACACATTTTTTGTTTTAAATCCTCAGGGTCTTGTATCTGTCAAGAAATACTACACAGCTCTTGTTACTTCAGGATTGATCATAGTGGTTTTGAACAAGCTGTCACCGTTTTTTTAGGTGGCATTTTGAAAAATATAGATGGCTATTGTTAAAGGCAGTTATTCTCCCCTGTGAATTATGAGAATCAGCAATGTTTTCTCCTATGTCTTCTACAGGAAGCTCCTAGATCCTGCTTTAGCAACCTGCTCAAAGCCATCCATGTTTCTTAATCTTGTCTATAAATCTCTGAAGGCAGACGTAGTGTTGCGGCGTGTGAAGGCCTTTGTGAAGAGGTTACTTCAAGTCACTTGTGGACAAATGCCACCCTTCATTTGTGGAACCCTGTATCTTCTGTCTGAGCTTCTGAAAGTAAAACCAGAGTTGAGGGTCCAGTTACAAGATCATGTGGTAAAAGATGGTTTCTTTATCTCATTGTTCAATAAATGGTGTTTTCACAAGCAGATTTCCCTAACCTGTTCATTAATAACCTGAGAGTTTGGTAATTTGTTATGGGAGAAAGCACTTAAGCAGTTGTTGAGCAATTACATGAAAAATCTGCATAGATGAAGGTGTTTTAAGCATTCTAGCAGATCCTATGGATTTAATTCATGGAGAGAGGATTATTTTGATAAATGCTGTGTAGGCAAGCAGATAAACTTTCTTCACTAAAAAGCTTTGTCAAAACATTTGTTTCTTATGTTTGTATTCTCTAAAGTATAGCTAGGAAGGACTAGATTTATTTTGTTTTTGTTCTTCAGGGGAGAACAATGGGGAGGGACCATTACACTTGTGTGATATAAGCTGTAAAGTTCAGTTTTAAGTCCTGTATCAAGGCCAAAAATCTGTATCGCTTAAACATTGGCCATCATTTACTTATATATTTGTAAGTAGCTTCTTTAGAACTATATGTGCACTTTTCTAATGAGTCAGAATAAAACTGGAAAGGAAAAGCTGTTCACTAACACTTTTTGTTTAGGAATCAGATGATGAAGAGTGCTTTAAGGATCAAGAAGAGGCTGAAGAAGATGAGGAAAAATTTGTTGATGCAGACCAAGAAGCAGAAGGTGAAGAGAGGAGAGCAATGGAAAATTCTGCTAAAACTAGCAGTTCAAATTCAACAGCATCGTGGGTGCATCATCTGAATATGGGAGGTAAACTAGCAAGAAAATATAATTAATGCAACTTCTAACGTTTCCTGACAGTGATGTGTTGATCAAGACATGTAAAATTAATTATTTAAACCACTATTATAGTTTTTCAGATTGAAGTTTGATTCCAAGCAATCGGTCAGAATAATTATTTTTTATCTGTTAGCTCAGTGGTGATGAAGAGACTGTATGAATCTGCTCATCTGTTTCACTGTGTGCAATTTACTGCACTTGCCCCTAAGCAATAAACAGGCTTGGGATTTTTTGCTGCCATGTTCATACACCTTGAGAGCAATGTATCCAAGGTTAGGATGTGTAACTACTCATTCACTTGTGAATCTTGCTAGAACAATTTGTCTAGCTCTGAACCTGCTTCTAGTTCTGTGCTTTCCTGAGTTACAGAGCAGGGGTTTTCAGGAGCTTCCTTGGATGCGCGTTAGGAAGTCACCTGTGCACCTGATCATATGGGGG